ATGCGCGGTAAATAATAATTAAGGTAGATAATGTGGGATATGTTAAGGAAGTAGGTATCACGCTCATGTTTGAGATCGCAAGAAATAATAGTGAGCCTTTGCCAAGTTCGGTTTGAGGCCGGACATACGTAGTTAAGGCGTTTACTTGTGGTAACCATAAAACTAGTGAGCATTGTAATTTTGAGTAGAACGTTTAGAACGATTGTGATGTACGAATGAACGAACGAAATAAAGCGAAAAAAGTGAAAGATACAGTCCTGATTGTTTGTTGAACCAGCGGACGCGGAGATATTCCAAACGCAGTGGAAGATTCCGCAACAAGTGTGTAGTATGCAAGAAACTTGAAGGTCGCCCCTATGGAGTGCCTCCTACCCCTCAACTACCTGAATTCAGGTTGTCTGACGACTTCGCATTTTCAAGTATAGGAGTAGACTTTGCGGGTCCCATTTATGTCAAAGATGTGTACAACAAGAGTAGTGTTATGAACAAGGCATACATTGTGTTATATAAGTGTGCATCTAGTCGCGCAGTTCATCTAGACCTTGTTCCAAATATGTCAACTCAAGCGTTTGTGAGAAGCTTCAAACGGTTCACTGCTCGACGAGGTGTACCAAGGCTTGTTGTATCGGACAATGGTTCCGCTTTCAAGAGTGAAGAGCTCAAAAGGTTGTTAGCAGAGTATAGCATATCCTGGAAATATAACGTGGCATTAGCACCCTGGTGGGGTGGATTCTTTGAACGTCTCGTTAAATCAACAAAGCGCTGTCTGAAAAAGAGTTTAGGAACAGCTCGAGTCACTGATGAAGAACTGCTTACAATCATTGTCGAGACCGAAGGAATCCTGAATTCAAGACCTCTAACTTATGTGAGTGATGAAATGCGAGATCCTCTTACACCGTCGCAACTTGTTATTGGTCGTCGCTTGTTGAGTTCACACGGAAGCGCTAAACAACCAAGTGGGGGAGATCACACTGTGCGAGATCTTTTAAGACGTGAGAAGTACTTGAATGCTGAACTTTCACATTTTTGGAAGCGTTGGCAGAAGGAATACTTAACAGAATTACGTGTTCATCAACTGTAATTCGAGTAACAGGAAGCCAACGATTAAGGTCGGAGATGTTGTTTGCGTCTACAAGGACAAAGCGCCGAGACAACTTTGGAGTATGGGAGTCGTCAAATCTCTCATTACAGGACGAGATGGTTACCACAGAGGAGCTGTTGTAAGAGTGCGTAGTGGAGATCGAGTCGTGGAAATAACAAGACCCCTAAATAGACTGTACCCTGTAGAAGTCGAATCACAAGTGCGGGAAGAGCGTCAGAACAGAACCACTGATTTCCCTATTACCTTCGTGGGAAATGCTGAACAGGAACATGTTAGTGAACATTAACATTAAGTCAAAGAACAGCGAACTCTTTTCCTTTCATTTGTTATTTTATTCGTTTCGTTGTTGATTGACCTGTGTCAATCAAGGCGGGGAGTGTATAAGAAATTATTGCGTCATTGTGGCGGGAAAACTCGTCACGTGATCTGAAAAACTGAGCTTTTTGTTAGAACTGTGTAGTCGTTCGGAGTCGTGGAGCTGATCAAGTTTTACGCGAATTGATGTCGATGAATCCTTTAAGTGTAGAACAGAGTACAGAATTCTAAAATATGAACATGAAGAAATATGCTTTAAGGAGTGAAAAATAAAAGCTACAGAGAACTGATTGTATATACAACATTTGGTTACACCTTTGAGATGATCCGGATCTAGCCTGCGTGGCAATCCCCTCCCTTTTTCCCTTCCTCCCCATCCCCCTTTCGACGCCTGCTACGCAGGCTAATCTGGATCAGGATCAGTGATCCGAGATCACTCGGATCATAGTAGATCAAATTTACCGATGAATCCACTCTGGACAAGGATTCATAGGCTCAATTGATCTACCATGATCCGAGTGATCTCGGATCACTGATCCTTATCCTGATCCGGATTATTCCAAACGAACGCACCCTTTGATTTCTTTCGATTGGTTTTTAGTATCCGGAGTTGCCTAGTAACGTTGTCGCAAGTAAGCTCTAATTGACGCCATTCAGTCTGACGTCACGGCTAAGTGCAGTTTTTTCTGTTTTCAGGCAACACTTAACCAGCGGCTTGAAATTCAGCGCGAACAACGAAGAAGAGGACAGCAAGACACCGTGGAGACGAAAGTCATCCTCTGTGAAAAATATTAATGACATAATGAAGAACGTTAAAGTTAACATGATTTTAATTTTAAAAGTTAACGTGAACGTTGAATACTTAGTTGGTGTCGTGTCGCGATAGACAAGGCGATAACCATATAAGTTAATGGTTCGGAGTTCGACTCCTGACGGAGGAATTATTATTATTGTTATTATTTTGCTGCCGAGCGATTTGAGATTTTTCGTTCAGTGGTTCGATGGTTCAATCTGTGACTGCAGCGCTGTGCAGTCAGCGGTTTACTATAGGAACCTTATATGAAGTACCTACCCGCAACTGCTTAGCTGCCGCGCCTGTTTTTGCCTTTGAAGGAAGTCGTCATTTTCTGTAGTTCTCATGCAAAATCTGTGCAGAAGTCGTAGTCCATCGGATGTTTGCTGTCTTTTTAAAAGGCCTAAACGGTAAGAACAATTCAAGAAGTACTGCACGGAACATTTTTTGGGTTTATTTTATTTATTCTAGGTTTCAAGCCCTTTTGTCACACACAGTCACGTTGTTATCTCGGGGATCCTGATTGTAAGACAAAAGTTACGTATTAATCGGCATGTGCTGCATCGTCTGCCTGACCTGTGAATAAACAAGTTTTGGCCGTTACGTTATTTGTTGGCAACTCTTCTCGTCACGTATACGATGATAGTTCGATGAAGAAACAGCCTGTCAGCACTGCTAAGTTGTCTTAGTGAATTATTAAAATGAGTTACAAAATCATATTGAAACTTTAGCGAGTTATCTGAATGTAAGCATATTTGTCATTGTGATCGGTTCATTTCTTATATTTCACTCTGAGTCTTTCTTAATTCCAACAAGTCTAAGTTATTCATATAACTGTGAAAGGTTTGAACCCAGGAGTCATTTCAAAAGTAGGTTGAGTTTGATCGTCCGGGTGAACGTAGTCCTGAATAGGACTGTTGTTGTTGACAGTGACTGACGTTTTGACAACCTGTGCGGTAGTCATCTTCAGAGTCAAAGTGAGTTGTATCACGTCAGTTGATGGTATTATACTCTGGTTATTGATTTGATTGGTCAATTACATCGTGATGTTATTGGTTGTCTCTCAGTTAAGCCGTGACACTGTCTTTGTCCTGTTCGCATTACAACTAACAGCAGCACTTCCCTTCTCCATGAGAACTTCTAGTTTTTGTCATTTTGTTTTTGTTTTCTTTGTTTTGTTTTGTTTTTGTTTTAACCATATTTTACATATTTTACCTATTGCTGGTTTCTATTTGTTTCTATTGCTTACCCCTCATCACAGCCTTGTGTAGCCTCCCACACAGGCATTTTTAGGGGAGAGATGGAAAACGAGCTCCCCTCAAAACGCCTGCGTGGGAGGCTAAGCCTTGTGAGGTGTTGCGACAAATGCATTTCTAGTTAACTAGGAAAGCCCTTTCATTGCTGGGGCCTTTTTAAAACACTGCAGTAAAACTCCTAAGGTAATACTTCTAAGGTATTTTTTTTCCTGGAGGGTACGAGTGTCTGTAAAACTCTGAACACTCCGAAGCTGCCCGGAACACCCATTATTCGCATTCTTTTGCTTTGTTGACAAAAGTTTTGTGACATAGTTGGAGGCCTTTGCTGTTCCAGAAATGTGATTGGACAACAGATAGCTGATGTCACTGGCCTATTTTATGTTGCTTAGCATGCCACTGCAGCTACACCCAATCTAAATCGGCATCCGCTTTTGATCCAGTTCCGATATCGATAATTTCCTCCGTGTAATAGTCTCTAATCTTGGAGCTTTTTTAAGTCACTGTTTCTACCAAAATTCTTGCAATGTGGCCACAGGTTTGCCTCTTACTGTAAATTTGATGAATTATGTAAAACTTAGATCAGTGAAGCTGATCATTTCTTTTAGCACTCATGCCGTTGATTTGAAAGTTCATCGGGTTAATGCTTACAGCTACAATAGGTAGAGCATTAATTCAACAGAGCATTTGTGTTACTACATATATATTTCATTACATTTCAGCTAGTGATTGATCGAGGAGGAAACTAAACTTTTCGGTTTACATTAGCTTTGCAAACATTGCGAACAATCTCAGGGTTAATTATGCTGAATTATTTAAATCGGTTAGATTTAACTTCACTGCACCATAATGAGAGAAGAAGTTTCTTGTGCTTTTAGTTTGACGTTCAACTTGTGTTCCACACAATGACTTGTTTTACAACAACTTACGTAAAGGCAATGATTTTCACAAATTGCCATGGATTGAGAAAAGTAATTCATCAGTAATTTTAAAAAAAACATCTCAAGATCCCCCTTTCCGCTTCAGAGGTTTCGTACGGCTGACGACTAGACACTGTCAACACACTGTTATTGAGTCATGATCAGCCCACTGAAATATGAAATATAATGGCTTACTGCCCAAGGGTAAGGGTGTTATTTGCTGTGTTTAGACAAAGGCCCAAAACAAAGTTATGCAACATAGAGCAGCTTTTTTTCGAAGCACTTTGACAATATTTTTTTTTTTCCATAAAATACAAGCCTAATGCCTTGCAACATTAGAATGGTGGTTGTTCAGTTGATAAAGGTGGCACAAAATAACAACAGTAATAATAACAGTAATATTTATAATAGATAATCAGTATTTTAAGAGGAGGCCTCCTGAATCACCTTATGGTGGTTTTCAGGAGGGGCCTCTAAAGTAAAGGTCAAAAATGCATTAAAATAGAACTAAAATACGGGTAGAAACTACTATTAAAACTGAGGTTTAAGTTAAAAATACTAAATAAGTTATTAAATTCTTGTGTTGTTTTTTGTTGTGTGTTTCTAGTACGATGTAGATGAAAACGGACATGTCGGAAGCTGCAATGAATAATAACGATTCAAATAACAGTGGTGCTGGCCCACCTCAGCTGGCTGTTGGTCTTTCATCCATAAGAGATGTTATAACAACATTGAAACAGCCAGAGCTACCCGTTGATATTCTTTTAGTAACGGTTAAGGACTGCGAGTTCTTAGCTTGTTACAATGAGCTTAAAGATCCCTTTAGATGTCATTTTGATGATCTCGGTTATGTGTACTTCGCGGACGTTGTCGGAAGTCAGCCACAGCGAGTGAAAGTAGCACTAATGAAATGTCATGAAGGCTCTAACGGTCCGGGTGGCTCTCTCACTGCCGTTAGGAGTGCCGCCCCTATTCTAGGACCCAAGGCCATGATATCTGTTGGGGCATGCAGTGGTCTCAACCCTGACAAAACCAAGTTAGGAGATGTCATTGTATCAGCCAAGCTAACAACATATGCATCCAAAGTGGTGACAAGCGACCAAGAGCAGTGGGCTGGTATGAGTAGTCACGTGAGCAGACGGTTTCTTAACATCATCACGAATTGCGCGGATGGATGGCAACCACCATTGAAGAACCCAGAAGATCGCCACATCAACGTTCATAACAATGGCGAGTTCCTAAGTGGTCCAGAGCAGATCAGAGCTGAAAGGCGCCGAAAAGAACTTGTCAATCGCCATCCCCTTGCAACAGGAGTGGAGATGGAGGGAGAAGGTGAGTGTGTGTAACATTAAACAACAGTGTTTGAATTCTTACACAGGTACAATGTATTTCAATTACCGCATTGTTAATGATGTCACACTTCAAGGCCTCAAGCCTACTTCAAAAGACAGCAAGGTAGCATGGTTCGTTTTTTTATGAAATTACCCGTGTTGCTTTGCGGTCTCTGTGGGAAGGCTTCTTGACGTCTTTCATTGGTCCAGTAAAGACACGCGCGTACTGGGAGAGAAAAGGAGAGGAGGAGTCATCTCCCCTTTTGCGTGTTCCTCTCATCCGCTTTATAAAAACTAGCCAGAAAAACTAATCGGCACCTGTCACACAGCTAGGCCGTTTTGAAAGAATGAAGAAAATTAAAATATTTATTATGAACACCTACATAGCAAGTACTTTAACCCATTCGCCCCTGAACCGCCCGCAACCGCCCGTGCGGATCCAGGTCCTTTCTACCCTTTGTGACGTCATCAGTTTTAACGGTCACCGACAACTTTCTTCGCTAGCTTGTGCAGAGTGAAGAGATCTTTCAAACCATACCAGAATGAGCACAATTCAGTCAAGGACACCGGAGAAAGAAGCAAAAAACCACGTGACATTGACCTGAAAATCTCCATGATAATCTTGTTCCAGTACCCACCTACCTTTCCTTTCACCTAATCCTAAGATCCTAAAAGCTTTCCTAAAAACTCTTCCCACCAAAATGAAGCCTACTAAATGCCCATCAAGCGAAAAAAAAAATGAGGCAAGAAAAGCGAAAAAAGAAGGGAGGAGAGAAAGACAAAAGTAAAAGTCAAGACTGCTGCGCATGCCCGAACTTCACAAGCTGATATTTTGCATGTGGATTAGAAGGCCGCGAAGTGTACGACCTGTAAACCGGTTTGTGGTAAGTTTTAGCTCTTTATAGCACGACAGTGACCAGAAAACCACTCGACTAGCTTCAAAACGCGTTCTTCGGCAAAATCTCCTGGAGCGAATGGGTTAAAGGGTGAGTTGTCCTGATGTATTGTATCATAATGTAAAAATATGTTTACACACTAGAATGCTAAAAACTGATATACTGTATACACTTGACGTCACTTTTGTGCAAAAATGTACATGTAATCGCTATATTAAAGGGAAACATTTGTCTATGGAGTCTGAGATTGATCTAGGATTGCTTGAATATGTCTGATGCAGACAGCTTTCGATCGTGACACAGAACTTTACAACTGGGAAATAAAATGAACTGTCTCACTTATAACAAAGTAATTGAATGAAAAATGTTTGTGATAAAAAGTTGCAGTCTGCAATCAAAAGAAAAGCTGTGAAAATCATTTCTCTTACTTGGCTGTCGATGGGGTCTGGCATCTCTTGATTCTGCGTTTTTTTTTTCTTCGGTCGATTTACATCCAGTTTGTAATTAAAAATAATTTTTCGTTAATGCTTTTAAACATTAAAATCGTCAGAAATGTTAATAGACCTATTCGGCTAACTCAATGTTGTACCCAATTCAAATCTCCTGGGGTTAAGATTCATTGTGTATTGTATTTGCATCATAATGTGGCATTCTCATTTAAATGTATGGAAATTCCGGAAACAAAAAGTTTTATTCCCAGAGGGTTTGAATTGGGTACAACATTGAGTTAGCCGAATAGGTCTATTGGAAAGTAAAGAATTACAAGTGTGTCTATGTGCCATTAATTAATTTTTTTTTAGTTTCTTTTTACCGCAAAACTTAATTATCTATAACAGGTAATTTACAGAAAGTAATATATCCTAAATGTGTTTCATATTTCAGGTGTTTTAACAGCTGCATATGATACTCAACTCGAGTGGCTCATTGTTAAAGGGATAGCTGATTTTGCGGATGGTGAGCAAGTGAATGCAGAAAGTTGGGAAGCCTGTGCTAGTGTGATGGCAGCATCTCTTGTCTCACACATATTAAGTGATCCTGGTGTTTTCCGCACTTGGCCTCATTACCTAGGTATAAATTCTTGTTATTCTACACTGGATTATGAAAAAGCGTAGGGTTAACAGGCTGAATTTGCTGGCTTCAGTAAAAGGACTGCATGAATGCTGCTAGTAGGACAGTGAAGAATCTCAGATCCTGAGATCAAAAGGCACATTCATCATTTTTCTTTATCTTTATTTTTATCTTTAATTAGTTAATTGCCAATGGCATAGGTTAATCGTGGTTGTTGGTGGCCATAATTAGGCGGTAGGTGATGGCCTTTAACACAGGCAAAGACGGGGCGTTAATAAAAGCAAACGGAAACTGTTCCACACACTCAGGTATACAACGGGGAAAAAACGAGTACTTAGGCATCAACAAAAACGGGTCAGAGGTTGTATATCATATTATGGGATTACCTGGTGTAGGAGGTATTAAAAATTAATTCTGTAGGGTATCCAAGCGGCGTTACCTCAACATTCAAGACATTCAAGATTCAGTCGCTCTCACCTCTTAGTCTACACAAAAACGGTGATCGTCGGGGTACATGTTTCTGGTCAAAAATTGAGGGTCTTTTTCTTAGCTATAAATTGCATCATCACCAATAAGTACGTCACAAAATGCTAATGATGTCTTTACCTGGATCTTTCAGTGAATGATGATCTCTTAGGGGCTCAATGCGAAAGCGGTAGAAAGCGGAAGCTAGCTGGGCACCATGCAGGTAATATGTAAACTGAAAATGTGTTTTCTTTATAACGCTGACTCACTTTTCTTGCTCTGCTGTTTGCTCCACTTTCATTTTAGAATGCATAAGGTAACCCGGTTTCGAAAATTCGGGAACTTTAAATTTTTGCTAGTGGAATCAGGAATTCTGGGCTTTGGAATCTGGAATCAACTGTAGGAATCAGGAATCCCGCTACAGCAATTGGAATCCGGAATCACAGTGTGCACTCCAGAATCTAAGGCTCTCTTGGTTTACTTTACAGGGGGCGAAATGAACAAAAAATCAATCGCGAGACACGTGTAGCGCCGCAAATGTGTAACAAAGCTGACTTTAAGTGACTGACACTGTCAAACGCGAAGTTATGACCGAATTACAAAGGATTTAAAGCTACCAACATAGCCCAGTGGTCTTGGGGTAGGCATGAGGCCTTGAAATACGACAAAGTAAGTGAAAAACATGTATGTGAAGTGGCCCGCATCTCAACCAACGATTTTCTTCACCAGGTGCTTTGTGTGATGATCAGCGCTCAACACAAACGAAAAGAGGAATGTTTTCTGGGCACATATCTCAGGAAACTGACTCCACAACCCAGCAGCATCTTGCAGGTATCACTCTCTAACAACGCATTGAATAGTGACACTTAAAGAATCTATGGCCAGATTATTGTTGACATCATGACTATAGTACAGCTTTCGAAGTGACCAACTCTAATACCCCTAAATTGCTCAAAACTGTGCCGCGTGGTTAAGTTTTCTTATTTAATAACGCCTCGTGTTATCTCGGGAAAAATATAGCCTGAGAAAACAGCCGACGTTTCGCGACGCCGCCACCAAATGACGTCTGAGAAACAAGGACAGAAGTTTCATACAGATGACGTCACTACCCTGGGTTGTGACACGTCATCATCAGTGTGGAATTTCTGCGCTCGTTTCTCAGACGTCATTTGATGGGGAAACCAGTGGTGGCCTCGCGAAGCGTCGGCTGTTTTCTTAGGCTAGGGAAAACTACAGACTGCTGATCAGCGTTTTCTTTTTTGCGTTTTTGATTGATGCAGTCTCTCATAAAAATGATGGAGAAAACGAAGACTGATACTAGGGAGGGACTAACTGCGCGTGTCGTCCGCGTGCCGAGCGATAACAAGCCATTTCAACATGACGACAATCGTTCCGCGGTTTTTTTAGGCTTGTTTAGGCACTCTAACACCATTTGAGTTCTTTGTTCTGGATTGAACCTTTTTCAGCCATATTTCACTTACCTTTCCATGCCGTGTACTGGAATCTACGTCGAGTGGGACAGAATGTTAGTAAAACTTAGTTCCTTTTCATAATCGCGCTTTGGATTCTTGTATCGGAATTCGGTCCATTAAGTTGTTTCCATGGTAACAATTTTTTTTCCATGTGTGGTTGAACTCAGGTCAATTTCAATTTCTTTAGTCTTGGCCGACCTTTAATCACCTGCACACACCAAGTTCGTGCAAATTAATACTTCAAGACTTAAAGTGGCTCCGTTATCAACGCAGGCGCATTGAGCTACAAGGAACTTTTTGTCATAACGTGTGTTTTCAACGCGATGGCTACGAAACTTTGCAAATAACAACAAATATCATTCGGCAATAATATGAAGTATTCCGATTTTACTGATGGTAAATGTTTTTTTGCAAAATTAGCGCTCAAATGGAGCCCAAAAAGAAAATCGCGTCTAGTAGAAATTTTTGCTGATATTTATATATTTTTTACTGAAGTTTCAGGTATCAGTTTTTATTGAGATAATAGATATCCTGGAAATTTTCAGAGAAATCGTTGGAGCAGAAGTCTGGAGAGGTTCAAAATTCAGTTGTGAAATTGTTTTGGAATTTTGAAAACGAATTGCTCTAAGGCGGAACGAGCCACCAGTTCCAATTTTCGACTCCAGAGCTCACGCTTTTGACTCCCGCGTTAGCCCTTGGAAACCAGAGAAGCTAAACAACCCTCACAGCGCATGCTCCTCTTTACAAAACCAAATGTTTGCATCAAAGATAACCGCGCTGTGCTCCTTCTTTTCATAAAAGCGGAAGACAGGACGTTTATAGCTAATTTTCAAGTGTGGTGAACTTCTCCACGAAGTGGTAAGCGTAACCCAAATTTTTAACGGCAGATGTATAGTTATCGTTTCAATTAAATTACCAATTTAGTGTCGCTTAAGACTTTCATTAATTTGTTTATTTCTTGCGCAATTTCGACATGTAGTTAATTTTTTTCATTTATTTTCATTAATACTGTAACTACGAAATGTGATATCTTGAGAAAATAGTCCTAGTTCTTTGCTATGCTTCTCACTTGAAACACGCATCACTTTATTAAGTCTGGTTCCTGGTGTGGTCAATTTTCCAGTACGGACCATAGCTGATATCTTTTATTAGAGATTGAGGGATTATCAGAGAATGCTGTTATTCTGCTTAAGTAGACGCGCAGATGCGGCATATTGGATTCGCTAAAACCGAAAATCGGCTGGGCTTGTTGATTTTATCTTTTCCAGTCCTTTGCTCAGGCTCGCGCTCGCATGCTCAACACGCCGCACATTCACCTCTCGGGCGACCTTAAATGGACTAATCAAAAATGCTTTCATTGTTTTAACTCAACACAATTATAGAAAATCTTGTCTAGGGTTCCCAAGTACTCTTCTCTTCCTGGCGGTTATGTGTAGAAGAGCTCTGGGGCAGAGATTGAGTGCCACTGTGGAAAGACTGACATGCGTCTAAAAGGTTGCGTGCGGTGCTCGCGAGAACTCACGCGTATCATGCCCTTAGCGGCAGCCTTTGATAAAGCGAAAGAAACGGACTATTTTGCAGTCTAGGAAGAAAATAATGCACCAACAAGTAACTGAGAATCATTGCAAGTGTTCTTTGCAAATTCGTCTATAACTAATTGGTTGTACACATATTACAAAAGCATACCGTATCGTATACTGTATGAAGTGGAACCTTGATATGAGGAAGGGCCAAGCCAGGGATCTTAAGGGGCCGGCGAAATATGTTCCCTACAACGAAGTTTTTTTCGAGGTTCTTTTCTATGTATTCTACTACTACTGGAGTCAGGTGAAGAATATCGTTCTTTATACCGAGCTAGGACGTCGTTATGTGTAGGCGGTTTTTTATATCATCATTCCACTAAACCATACTAGATTTGTGCCCCTGTTTAAAAAAAAGCCAAATCGATCTTATCTGGACTATTTTGTCTTCGTAGGGTTGCCCGCTTACATCACAGAAAGGATTCGTCAGCTTTACCAAGTCCGTGAAGGGCAGCTTAAACCATTCACTTGGTGTGATTATCCTAATTTCAACCTCAATGATATTTTTACCCGATTGAAAATCCGGAACAGAGAAAAAACACGAGGAACACTGACCGACGATGAAATCACCAACATGACCGCCATCTTTAGGCCGCATCCGAAGTGTCAGAAGCCACGGATTGTTTTGATAGAAGGGGATCCTGGCATGGGAAAAACCACCTACTCGCAAAAACTGGCGTATGACTGGGCAAACAAACAAGATGAATGGGACGAGTCTTTTCCAGAGATTGAAGTGCTGCTCTTGCTTCGATGCAACGATATTAAAACCAGCATTGAGGAAGCTATTGATGATCAAATTCTTCCTCGTGATATCGACAGAGAGGCTAAGGAGACTTTCTTCAAATACATCAAGGAAAACGAGTCCAAAGTTCTGCTTCTACTTGATGGCTTAGATGAGGCAGACTCCTGTAAACAAGAGATGTTCCTATCACTTGTTCAGAGTAAACTCTTCCCATCTTGCCACATTGTCATTACTTCGCGTCATGAGGACGGAAAGGAAATAAGGCCATACTGTGACACACTGTGGGAGATTGTAGGATTTGCTAAAGAGGATTCCAAAAGCTTTATCAGAAAATATTTTCAAGTCAAGGATCACTTAGCTGAGAAGTTGATTCAAGATCATTTTAATGATTGGTGTGACAACCCATCTGAATACAGCCTCGCCGAGTTGACGAAAAATCCGCTTAACATGACTTTAATCTGTTGTCTTTTCGAAGATTCCGAAGCCGTTTTTCATTTAAGTAGAACCCTATTATACATTGAAATCGTCCTCCTTGTTTTAAGAAGATATGAAAAAAAGAATGGACTTACAAGCAATGAAGACTTGATTTTAGTTTATGAGAAAGAACTTTTGCTTCTGGGCAGCTTCGCGTTTAATTCCCTCCGTGAGGGGAAGTTCTACTTTGAAATACAGAGAGATATGGTCAAGTCTATCAATAATCTTGAATTCTTGTCTTTGCAACAAGGCGGCACTACGAGCAAACCTTGCACGCGCTGTGCATTTTCACACAAAAGCTTTCAGGAGTTTTTTGCTGGTTTTTATCTTGCGTTTCAGATTATCCATGGACAAATTGTTTTTACCGACGTTTTAACCGATGAAAGATATTTCAAAGAACTAAGATTGGTTTTTTTGTTCATGTGTGGAATCATAGCTTCAAAAAACGAGGAAACTGGAAATTCCCTCCTTATTGGTATGGCTGAGCATATCAGTGGTCTTCTCCGTACATCCGATCAAAAGGTGAAATCATGTATGGCGTTGGCTTGTGATAGTTTATTTGAACACTATTTAAGCCTTAGAAAAAAGCATTGGAATGAAGAGAAACGGCTAACTTGCTCAGAGAGTACTTTCGGTATGCACCTTGATATGTCTTCCTTGACTAGAGTGGATTTGTCTTCCACTGACATAAAGGATGCTGGTGCTGCTGCGATTTCCGTGGTCCTTGAAAGCAACTCCTCCCTAACTTATTTGGATTTGAGTTCCAACCAGATTTATTCCGACGGAGCTTTTTGTCTTTCCAAGGCCCTCACAAAAAACTCCATCCTGACTCATTTGGATTTGAGTGGCAACCAGATTGGTGACGATGGTGCTTCTTCTCTTTCCACGGCCCTCAATAAAAACTCCTCCGCCCTGATTTCCTTGAAATTGAGTGGTAACATGATTAAAGAGGCTGGTGCTTCTTCTCTTTCCACGGCCCTCACAAAAAACTCCATCCTGACTCATTTGGATTTGAGTGACAACTGGATTGGTGTCGATGGTGCTTCTTCTCTTTCCACGGCCCTCAATAAAAACTCCTCCGCCCTGATTTCCTTGAAATTGAGTGGTAACATCATTAAAGAGGCTGGTGCTTCTTCTCTTTCCACGGCCCTCACAGCAAACTCCATCCTGACTCATTTGGATTTGAGTAACAACTTGATTCGTGACGATGGCGCTTCTTCTCTCTCCACTGCCCTCACAGCAAACTCCATCCTGACTCATTTGGATTTGAGTAACAACGGGATTGGTGATAATGGTGCTTCTTCTCTTTCCACGGCCCTCACAACAAACTCCAGCCTGACTCATTTGGTTTTGAGTAACAACTTTATTTATGACGATGGCGCTTCTTCTCTTTCCACGGCCCTCACAGCAAACTCCAGCCTGACTCATTTGGATTTGAGTAACAACTTTATTCATGACCATGGCGCTTCTTCTCTTTCCACGGCCCTCAATAAAAACTCCTCCGCCCTGATTTCCTTGAAATTGAGTGGTAACATCATTAAAGAGGCTGGTGCTTCTTCTCTTTCCACGGCCCTCACAGCAAACTCCATCCTGACTCATTTGGATTTGAGTAACAACTTGATTCGTGACGATGGCGCTTCTTCTCTCTCCACTGCCCTCACAGCAAACTCCATCCTGACTCATTTGGATTTGAGTAACAACGGGATTGGTGAAAATGGTGCTTCTTCTCTTTCCACGGCCCTCACAACAAACTCCAGCCTGACTCATTTGGTTTTGAGTAACAACTTTATTTATGACGATGGCGCTTCTTCTCTTTCCACGGCCCTCACAGCAAACTCCAGCCTGACTCATTTGGATTTGAGTAACAACTTTATTCATGACCATGGCGCTTCTTCTCTTTCCACGGCCCTCAATAAAAACTCCTCCGCCCTGATTTTCTTGAAATTGGGCAAACAATATTAGTAACGCTGGTGCTTCTTCTCTCTTCAAGGTGCTCCAAGCAAACCTTTTCCTGAAAATTTGGATTTGAGTTACAACAGGATTGGCAACACTGGTGCTTCTTCTCTTTTCGTGGCGTTCCCAGCAAACTTTTCCCTGACTAATTTTGATTTGAGGGGTAACAGTATCGGTAAAACTGGTGCAGCCTCTTTAAAAGAGGTCGCTGAGAAAAACAAAACAGTGAATGTACGCTTATAAATGTAGTTTGTCAGAGATTAGGGTTATAACATTGAAGGTCCTGAAGGTTATCATGAACGTTAAAAGGCAACCGAAGCGACTGGTAGTTACTTGTTCAGATACCTTGTTCTTAAATTGCCTCGACAAGAGTTTTTGTCTGCTTGGGCTACGGTTTTAATTGAGTTTTCTTCGAGGACATTTGAGGGCAGCCTTAGTTTTCTTTGCTTCAAATGAAAAAACTAGTGTTTCTAAACTATGAAGGAAAGTTTTGATCCGGTTTTTGTACAGTGTCTTGTGTAGATCTAGGTATCAACAAGTAAAACCTGTCTATCGCTATTGAAATACAGATTAAGATTCTTGTCATGTATTTTTATTTTTCATTTATTTTCTCTAACGTCTGTGATTATCCTTTCCATTGCCCCAGTGCCCAACAAAACCACAAGTTATGCAGGCTATAATCGCCGACAAAATGAGTTGAGACACTTCCCCCTAAAGTGGCTGTTTGACCTTTTTCTGACTTCCAAGGGGAAAATAAAGCTTTTCCTCCCCCATCCCCTCCATGCAATGTTGTGCCGCTGTTCGAGCTACCTTTAGAAAAGAACAAACACCCCAATTAAATGGAGGGGACAGGGGAGGGGTTTGGATTCTTTTGTTCTCTTGAGTTACCCTATTTGATTACAACGTCTCAACAATTTTGTTGGCAATTGTAGGTTACTACATCCGCGTGACGGAACTCTTTTCGATTCTTCGAAAATAATATTCCCCGATTCCTGCCTGCATCGCCAAGTACCGTGTTCTCTTTACCCGGCCTTTCTTACAGGAAGAGACGGGCATACAAGTCTTACCTTGGTTTTCTCTTCGACCACAAATCGCAGTCTGCTCTTTAAAGTGCATGCGTGTATACTGGCGAAATATCACGTGGTCGATTTCCGGCACATTCATTGGCTTAGAGGCAAGATCCCGATGAAAAGGCAGCTTTTTAGTCGGTAGGGTTAACGTTGTACACTGCTAGCAGTCTCTCTTTTGCTGCGAAAATCGATGAGCGAGTGCGATCTTTTATGCAAGAGGCGAAGCTGTGAGCAGCGAGTTGTGCGGGCGCCAGTTTTCGCGGCTTCGCCGCTTGCAGACTCCCACATCATATCGCAATTGCTCACAGGTTTTCGAGCAGAAGAAAGACTGCTCGCAGTCTATTGACGTTGTGGTTTTGTTGCCTCTGTGAGAGATTGACCTGGTGCTTCTTCTCTTTCCACGACCCTCCCAGCAAACTCCTCCCTAACTAATTTGGATTTGAGTTACAACATTATTGGCGACGCTGGTGCTTCTTATTCTCTTTCCACGGCCCTCAATGAAGACTCCTCCGCCCTGAAATACTTGAAATTGAGAGGTAACAGTATTGACGCTGGTTCTTCTTCTCTTTCCACGACTCTCACTGCAAACTCCTCCCTGACTAATTTGGATTTCAGAAATACTGAGCACTATCGGTGACGCTGGTGCAGCTTCTTTAAAAGAGGCCTCTTAGATAAACGAAACAGTGAATGTACGCTTATAAAATGGAGGATTTATTTCTAATAGTTAGTCAGAGATTGATAATGGTAATAGGACTTACTGAGTGGAGTCCAGTTTGGCCTGTAATCATACGAGTGATCGACAAAATCTCCGATTTGTTTAATCACAAGTATGATTACAGACTGAATTGGACGACACAAAGTTCTGTTACCAATTAATCATAACAATAACAAAATTTGTGACATTTTAGGCATCTTTTAATTAAAACACAAGAAATTCCGAAATTTTTTTGGTAGCAGTGAAAAACTCCATTTAAGTGCTCGTGCGATGGCGCGTACTGTCCAATTAGGCATGACGCGTAGTGACCTTTTACACTGTCCTAGCTAGTGCTGAAATCAGGACAGTTGATAGCCAATCAGATTTGCGAATTTTGTTATAGTTATGATTAACGTTTAATATTGACAGGCCCGAAGTAATGAAAAAGGAATTTAAGATAGTTCACCACTGTAGACTGGGACGGTTGGATGCATATACGGGCGCAAAACCTTGCTCCCACTATCTGTCCCTGGGTGGCTTTGTTGCAGATGAATTCCGTGCTTAGCTGTGCCGGTACTGATGTTGCCCTTAGCCGCCTGCGCTTTCTCTTCTCATCCCACTGCTCCTCTCTCCTCTCCTCACACGCCTGAGTGCCTCCCTTGACAGCAAGCCTCGAGTGACTTCGACCTGCAGCTGCAGCTTTCCAACCTGCAGGGTTGAGCAGAGCCAGGACGAAATATGCCTAGCAGGTGCGTGCGAGCAAAAAACATTTCATGAATATTTCTCGTTCTATATGCACCCCATGCAAAAAGATTTCACTTTCACACGAAGTAGACACGCCCTCATAGTCATAAAGCAAGTCTCATTACCGGAACTTAACAATATGAACACATCAAACCTGCTCTTCGAGAACTACACTGGCTGCCAGTTGAATCGTGTATAATATTCAAAGGTCTTCAAAGTACTAAGTTCAGGGGCACCCAATGGATCTGTTCCTCAAAATATCTGTTCTTCATGCAAATTTTTGCTGGCTGGGAGATGTGGAAGAAATAATAGTCCTTGGAAGGAAAGTGTTGCTGGGAAAAAGATAATTCAGGGTGTCAGAGGGGATTTGAAGTCTAGAATAGCTGCTACGGGTTACTTGTATGGGTTGCTTACCACTCAAGATCTGAATTGTGCCCTATAAAACTTCCCAGTAAGTCAGGTTGCAGGTTGTAAGGTTGCTGGCTGGGAACTCTTCCATCAGTCTTGCTGGGAGTGAGGAACAGATAATTTTTTTCCAGCAATCTCCCGAAATGCTTAAAATAGTCTCAGAAAACTTTATTCACGCTTTGTTGTTGTTTTTAAGTCTTTTTCTCAAAATTTCCCGTTAGGTGCCCCTGTAAGTTATTCTTATAACTTTCAAGATTCTTCACGGACTTTATCCGGACTATTTTTCAACCCTGTTACAAGAATATCATCTACTACGAAGTCTTGGTTCATCCTCCAAATCACTTTTTACTGTCCCTACTGTGAAGGCCACTTCGTGGCCGAGGTAAGCAAATTAAAGAGGAGCGGAGAGTCAAGGAAATCCATCTCTTTCAGAAATAGGTAACGCTGAGTGTTCGTCCTGGTTTAAAAAGACGATTCCAAACAGTCATTCCTTTCTAGGCAGTCATGTGAGCAAGGCGATCAAGAAGGCGGTTTTGTCAAGACTCCATCAAGTATGTAGAGCAAAAACAGTTTCCTCGCGCTTCGACTTGTAATAAGATAATATACATTATTTAACCAAATGCGTAGCGGGTTGTGCGATCGAGTGATAGGAGCCATGCTTGGCTTATAAAGCGTTGTTTTTCTCATTAGTGTTCAGAAGTGTTCTTGGGTTACGGATAGTGGAGTGCTGAGAAAAAAAAGGCAACTTCCTTCCCGTTTTTGGTCTGCTCGGTTTCTTATTTCCGGGGGAGACGGAAGGACAGATTTCCTTTCCCTTATATATACTTCAACTAGTGGAATCCCTGTTCATATACAGTACCTGGAAAAGGTTCTCCTTTCAGGCGGAGCCTCCCCGTACAGGTAATTATAGGGAGTACCCCCCGGGTCTTATTTGCACCGTCCACACTCATTTTTCTCATCGTCCGAACAATCTTTAGAACAAAAAAGATAATAAATTCCTTTTCAGATAAACCACACCATTTTTCGTTTTTGTTACACGAATTACCGTGAGTACATATAAACAAGTTGATGTCAAATTACCCTGGGACAAACTTCTCAACAATCAGCCGCCCTTGGGATACCCTGGGTCAAAGGTTTGTTCTCGGGTGCGACGAGGACCTTCATCAGCCGCAGACACATTTTCGGGCGAAAGCCGAAAACAAGAGGGGGAAGCCGCGAGAAAAAACGCTTTTCTCGCGGATCAGTTAAAAAGACTTAACAGAAACCGGAAACCGCGCATGAAAAGCCTCTGGCACCCCGGGCATCCTTGGGACAGAAGTAAGAGGCTGTTGTGGAGGCTAAGGTGCCGGTTCTGAGTCAGCGGGTGTAACATATGACTCCTGTTTTAGAGGGACCAAAATGAAGAACATTTTTGCTATTGAAAATACTGATTACAGCATATCAGCACGCAACACAATCAAAATACATCAATAAATCGTTTTCACTCACGTGATCGGCAACTATACAGTTTATTAGAACAAAATAACGTTTTTACTAGCTTGCGTGGCAGGCGTTCGAAAGGGAAGGGAAAGGGAATTAGGGTGCGAGACCACGCGCGAGAGAGGACGAAGGAGTGGAACGCATGCAAGGAAGCCTTCATTATACATTGAAGAAAAAGTCCCACTTACACATACCTTTCAATATCTCGGGGAAATCTGATCTTTTTCGTGTACCATCAGGAGCACATCAATATCCTGGTACCATTAAATTCTACAGTGCCTCATAAGGTGCGCCTGTTCGAAATATTTAATTAAGAGCATTTCAAATACCTTAAAGATAAATCTCCCTATAGCTTTTCATATACTTCAACTCATGATATCCCTACCCTTACACTCAGGCATGAATAGATTGTGCTGGTAAATTCAGGAAAAGTTGCTTCACAATATACCCAAAAGTTGCTCTAAAGTTGCTCAAATATCAAAAAGTTGCCACCAAAATTTAGAAAAGTTGCTTGCTCTAGAGTCGTTTTGTTTTAGATAAATACTCAAAACGTGTTTCTTTGTTTGTTGCTATTTAAACATTTTCATTAAATATTCTTACAATCATTAAAAGAGGCCAAAAGCCATTGTTAGCTATTGTTATATGACAAATATAAATACTATGTTGTAATCAATATACTCTTACCGATATAC